TATATTTCTATTTGCACAATCTGAACATCGTATAAAATAAAATAATATAACGTGTCAATGAAATATAATAGTTAATTATTTTGCTTAAATGAAGTACGAATGTGGTCGAACGGTTAATCTGTCAGTCGAAAAATAAAATGATCGGCGTTTCTGCGTGTGACAAGCTGAAATCACAATGTTTGAAAACGATATGTTTGAGGGAGCGACGTCGACATTTTGCGGTAACATCGATCGGTCAGCACACATGAACGTTCCAGACGACTTTGTCGCGAATAAAATATTTAATCGGACGGTCTATGCTACTCACCCTTCCGTGAATTATAGAAAGGGTCAATAACCTTGATCGATTTCCGCCCCTGGATACGGTTAATCGTTCAATCGTTGAAACGTGTGTCGTACACGAACAAGTTTAAACGAAACAACGGAGTAATTTAAAAATATAGCTCGTTTTGCGATACCACTTTGCATATAAGATAATGAATAGCGGACGAAGAAAAGCTATAATAACACGTTTATTATACGAAAAGAAAATTTGACACAACGCGAACACCGAGTTACATTTTAATGAATCGTGATATCCTCGTGATATCCTTTGAGATTTGGGTCATAGAGAAATAGAAGGTATCCGATAAATCTGTTTGTTCTACGTTAATTTGAATCATAATAATAAGGTAAAGCCAAACGGTGATCCTAATGAATTACCGCGAGCGTTTCATCAGTATTATTAATTACATCTCATTGTACTCCCTAATGAAGTCATTAAAGCAAGATTATTACGCTTTAGCATGTTGTATCGTTAGCTCTATTATGCTATATCCTATTATGTTATCTTAACCTCGTGTAAATTGAATACGTTGGTTACTGCTGGATATTGAATTAAATAATGAACAAATATAACTTTCGTTATTTGTTGAAACAATGAGAAAGTTGAATTACGAATATTATTACTATTGAATGCAACGTAATGATATTTCTACTGAAAATGCAACCTCGTGTGCAAATGGCTCGCATTGTTTTAATAATAAAGAACATTGTCGTGTCGGATTCAGTCGGTTGTATTCAAGATTGTTCTCAGTTATGGATCATGATAAAAATTACATTAAGACTATTTCCGTATAAATTCATTATTTTTAAGACTAATTTCTATTTTACATACACTATCTAAATCAGTTTATATGTATAATAATATATTCTATGTTTAGCAATTACAACTTATAATTATTGCTATACATAAATTCAAAATAATAAAGGAAATCAATAAACATATCGCTTGATAAGATTAATAAGTATTTAAAAGTCAAATCTATCGCTATGGTTTGAAAATATTGAATTAATTCTATAGATTTGATATGAAAATATTAGAATATGACAGGTAAATGTAATCCATATTATGTCTCAATTAACACGAATTTCTTAAATACGACGAAAAACGCCGATTGTCGTCTATTCGATTTAATGCTTATATCTACGAAGACAAATAATACTAACGAGATTCGCAGTGACGCTCGGAGCCATCTAGTGGCGTGCTCAGTACTACGGATCGGCGCACAGCTTGGAATAATTTTAACAATTATTTCAAAAATGAACAGTGCATCGTCATAGATATTTTTTTTATATTAATTTCCAATATTAATAAATATAATTAATTACATTTTTAATTATATATTTTCTGTCATTCTTTTCGACAAAAATAGAAAGAAAATAAACTATATCGATTCTTTCAATATTTTTTCAATAATTCTTCAATAATTCATTTCTCAAATGATAAAAAGTAATTTATTTCACATACATACACACAATATTATATTAAATAGTAATTGTAATAAACATTTAATTATCGTATCTGTATTATACGTGGCTATCTCTTCTTTTTCCTCATATTTTTTACAATCTCTGCTCTGATTGTCTCCATTCCTTTTCTTTTCATCTTATCTTTTAATGTTCTCACTTTTCACCCATCTTCCTTTTCATTTATCTCTGTTGCTCGAGAAACGTAATAGGAGGAACGATTATGGAGTAGAAGAAAATTGTCTACAATTTATGATAACGTTCCAGCACAAATAGGATTTCTTTTGTGGCAAGTCTGTTTTTTCTTGCGTTTAAGGCAAAAACGCTTGACGTGTTGTCTCTACTTGTCATTTCGTTCTACCTTTGAAGCCGGTTTAAAGAGAAGGAAAAAAATATCTTGAAAAAGTTTCAGGAAGATGAAAACTATTGTATTTGATTCAACATTTTGATCTTATATTTACGAAACGAATTAACATTTGAACCACAGAACGTGGCGTGCAAGCAGGACAATATGCAAATTGGCCAAAATGCAGATAGGATAGTGGGAACGCGTATTTCGCTTGACCAAGCCAAGCTTCTGACATCACGTTCCAAGATAAAGTGGTAGTTCCAATTTTCACTATTTCGTTTTTCACGGTAAAAGGAGATTGGAATGTAGTTAAAGTGTTACACGTCACAACATGAAGAGAAAGCGTCTTGTTATAGGACAATACGTAATTCTATTTTCTATAAGTAGAGCCAGTTAATTAGTACATCGATTAAAATGAATATTTTTCGAATAATTAGAAAAGTTTCTAATTTAAAATCATAACGCAGAAGAATTCTTTAACAGAGAAATATGATATTATGCGTGGAATGTTAAAGTAATACTTTCTTGAGAAATTATAATTCTAAACTGTAATTTTATTTTTTAAGAATCATAATATGAATCATACAAATTATACATTTTATTTTATCATTTTTATATAGAAATGCTTTTAACATTATCTTATATAATACTTTCGTTAAAAGAATCTATAATATACGTTTTCGATTTCACGAATCGAACAAAAAATGAGAATTCTCGTTAAAATAAAAACTCTATGGTAAATTTTTGTGTGCATTCATTAATGTATATGGTTGACGAAAAAAAAAAAATTAGCAACAAAACGAAATC